AGTTGATTAGGACTAATCAAGGTATGCTGAGGGTTTCTTGCCCTCAGTTTTTTTCAGCCCCCGAGTCTTCGTTCCGACGTTCTGCGAGAACGAGCCTACTTCTTGGCCTGTATTTTATGAAATAATCAAGATAAGGGGGAAATTGATTAGCATGAACGGTGCCTCATTCTCAGCCGGACATATTCAGCCATCACCATTTTCATTGTCAAACGCTCTGTTTCAGAGAAATAAGCTCGACAAGTTCGTTACACGGGTGACTCGCATGGAAAAAGTGCGTAAGCCTCTAGCAGACGGGCCCCAGCACATACGCATGCTATCTCCGAGATTCGAATTTTTTCGAGCTTTGGCCCCCCAATACTCCCTATTGAAGTTGGTGCCCGTTACCGGGGGCTATAGCGTAGTTCTACGCTAAAAAGCCGAAAAGAGCAGACATAGGCATTTGAGGCATTGTGCCTGAACTTCCGAGCTCTAATTATCCCCCATTTGCGCATATTCTGATCGCCCAGTTCTGCCTACTCCGCCTTTCTCGGAGGCTTGGATTTCTAAGCTCCAATAATGATGACAGGCGAGTGAAGTGATGTAATTTGTTCATGGAGAGTGACCAAAACCTTGAACTCCGACGCCTTTCCCGTGAAAGTGCCGTCTCCTCGCTGAGAATGTCAAGAGAGTCTTACTTAGTCCCCTGCGGCGCCTGTCTCCCACGAACTCCAAGGGAGAAAATCGCGGAATGCGCTTTTCGACAAGGGGAAAACGGTCGCGCGATTCAGTGAACGCGAATGTCGTTCCTCGAAGGTATGCAATGAATCGAGAAATGACAGTATATCTATGTCTCCGGTTGGAGCAATGGTGCATCGGAAGATTGGGGACGTACCTCCGAGTTCTCCGGGATATCCCGAGATCCTATTTTCGCAAAAGAGAAACGTTCATCTCAATTCGACGACATGGTGTGATCGCATCCGTCTCCGATGCTCCTCATTCGCCGGGGATTGAGCGAAAACATTGCGTTCGATACTGAAAAGCAGTTACATATTCAGCGCGTACTCACTTCCAGCGGGCATCTTTCGGCAGAGAGCAGGCGGTACGCTGGTCACGCTCCTGCTCACTCATGAATTCCCCGCTACTCCAGCAAAATATTTCAGCCGGCTACTGACATTCATCCTCCTGTAATTTTGAGAAAGCAGCGAGAGGAATTTTAGTGTTGAAACAACCTGGTAACACCCTGAATCAGAGAATGCCAACGGCTCACAGCTCGCCAGAGAGTCGCATTCCGAATGCCTCGATATCCAGTGCACAGGACGAAATCACTCTGCGGAACCGTGTGGCAGACATGCGATCTGAGTATTCACCCTCCAACACTCCACCGCGTGTCAGACCGATAGGAGGAAATTAGACCATCTTTATCTCCCCTATAGAATCAAAGCGCGAGCGCTTCGTTTGTTAGCTGTTTTTCGGCTCTTTCTCCCCACCAATTTCCGCGCACATGTGCTTCGGCGGTTGCGGAATCATGCCCCGGTGTGCAAGTTGATGTTTTCTTTCTCATCTTCTACCGCTCCGCCCAGTGATTGTCGAAAAACCCTCCTTCTTGACCACGAAACTCATGTGGTTCTAAGGTACGCTGTCCTTCTATTGTGGGTCCGCTATCAGGCGAGTTCTCCAGCGGCACGACGGGCTCGATGTATTTCCCCGATCTCTCTCTCGGCCTTTTAAGACTGACATCTGCCAGCTGAGAAGCTCACCATAGACAAGTCATCATGACTGTCGATGCAAGTCGTGTTTGCGTGAATCAAAGTCGTCGATGCGGGGTGCGAGGCAGAAGACTTGCGTGCCGAGCGGTGAATGAATAGAAAATGTTCACCGGAAACTTGAATTAAGTCCGTGAAAGTGCGTCATCGTCGACGTCCCGTGTGTAAACGCCTCATTCGCCGGAAACACGGCGAAAAAAGATGGGCGGTGACTTCCATCATTCCTCTTGGCTTTGAGGGTTCCGAGCCACTTGCTCCTTTGTAGATCACTTCCACATCGCTCAAGTATCTGTCAAAAACTTCAACTTCGATAAGGCAGGCGTGAGGCAGGTTCGGGAATCAGGCTCCAGATTGTCCGACTGCTCGTCCGGGCGACAGCAGTCCATTGTTTCTATGAGAGCCCTATCCGCAGGACTAGTCCTTGAAAACGACACTGTGGGTGGTGTGATGTCGGAACATCCCCATCAGGATGAGGGAAAGTTCCGGTGAGAAGAAATCCCCGCTGGGCCCTTTTCCCGATGCTCTTTGTGATAATCGCGGTCGCAAGCGGCATGTCTGGAATCCCTCCACTGGGATTCTGAAACCCGTCAATCGAGATGAGTCTCTCCAGCCGTTCGACGCGGATATGAGGAGGCCTTATACACGGTCCTCTGTCTGAGGAAGTTCCTAGCGACTCGTCTCGCCTTGCGCAGAAGGATCGACCCCGATTCCGAGATTATCGGTTCTCCGATTCTCGATTCCCCGATTTTCTTGGCCGCTTCTATGGCGTAGTTCTCGTGCAGCCCGCAGAGCTGTTTTTCGCATCCTGTAATCTAATCGTATTGCGACATGAAGATCACTGTCGCGTCGCAAAATGACATATGCGCTGATGCGTCTCTCAATCTTACATTAATTCAATCCAGGTCGCCATTAAGTTATTATGTTCGAATCGTCAATTCGATCGGAGACGAAGCCTAATAGCATCTCGCGTCCTTATCTAACGATTGCAGGACCAAACTGGAACTCCGGGTGGGAGCGCTCAATGAGCGAGATTTTATCGGGCTCGGGCTCATTTAGAATACGGACTCGTTTCCTCGTCCCGTTGACGTATCATCAAGGTACTTCGATGAAGTATTGCTCGAGCGTGGCGCCCATTGAGGAACCCAGTGCGCGCCCCTCTCCATAAATTTAGGATTTTCCAAATGACGGAACTGCTCAAGGTCTCCTCCCATTCAGTGTCATCATGATTTCCGTCTCATCGCCTCAGTTCATTTGAGAATCGAGGGTGAACTTTGTTTCCTCCCCCGGGGCCCGGTCAGAGAACCCATTGAAACAGCGGTTAATAAAGTCGAGAGATCGAAAACCGGAGAATCGAGAATCGGGGTAACACCGCGGAGAAGCCCTCCCGGCTTCCTTGTAAGGTCCCGCATCAACTCACAGCTCAATTGTTTCGGCTCGATAGATGGCTCGAGATCGTTGACTCTATTTCTGCATCGTGAATCTCCCATCACCCGCTCGACTCGCACCGGGCTAGAAGATTCCATTCGGCGAGAGATATTGGGAAGTTCATCCGTTCTGCCCCTCAGAAGTAACCGTGGTCATCGTGCTCAGGGGGTGGAACGCCGCTAGCTAGAATTCCACCCTTGCCTCTGAACCTCGCCCGACCAAAGGGCGTCTCTAGAGCTCAAGTCGGGTAACGTTGTCGCGCATTTCTCACTTGCTCACAAATCGAACTCTGGACGAAGATGTTACGCTGCGTGTGCTTTCTAGTGATAAGTTTCGTCGGTGCCCAGGAAATGACTGGGATGTCGCGGATTTTCAAGCCTCCTCTGGGCTCCACAAGCGTGGAATTCATCCCGAAGTTCCAGGTTCGATCTCCCTCCGGTTCTGAGCTCTCGCTATCTGTTTTCTCTGCCATCCCGAATCGCTAATCGCGGAATCTTTCTCAATCGAACCTTTTTGGTGTTCGTCATCAGGTCGTGACAGACGACGGCCCAGTCTCGGTCTCGACGGGGATCGCATTCCCTCTAGAATTGGCACTCAAGGCAGTAGAGCCCGAACCTGAGAATTTACCATACTCGCCGTTCTTCTTCAATAAGGGGCGCGATGGGAGAAAAGGTTAGTCCCTGGAATCCATCGCAATCGATTCGTAGACCGTGAAGAGGAATGAGTCAGACTTCAACAGGATGTATCGGTATCACATTTCCTTCTGCATACCGTCCTTGCTGCTCTTTCGGTCTCAAAGAGACCCTCACGAGCAATTCATCATGGATCGGCATGAGAATGAAGAATTCAGCGGTCAAGTAGAGTCAAGAGACGAGTGACGGCCTCCGACGAGGGCATTGCATCATCGAGATTCGATGCTGTCCCCAAACACGGATCGCATCTTGGCAGAAAGCGACGTGAACAAGTGAGAGATTGATGATTCCGAATTTCATTCGAAACAGAGCGAAGTTCCGACGCAGATGTCGGAGAGCGCACGGGGTGGAAGGATGACCGGAGCCAGAAAATCAGATCCCCTAAGGGCGTCTCGGAGAGACTCCAGCTGTACGAAAGTAAGCAGCGTCCTCTACGGAAAGGCTGGATTTAAATTCTCGAGCTGACTCGCTAAATCAAAGAAACCAATCCCCTTCAGGTTTCACTGCCTCCCTGGAGCGAATGGGTGTCCCGGCAAAGCGATGTCTTCTCCGGGCGATATGCGAAGTTGAAAAATACCCACAAGACGCGAACGAGAGTTTGTTGGGCGAGATGGTGTCCCTTGTGTTGAGGTGAGTACTGATCCAGATTTTCTGTCTGCAGAATCGTAGATTCCTCCGGAATCTGTATCGGCCAGTCCGGAACCAAGGTTTTCGTTATTGATCTTCACAGGGTGCCGATGAACGATTCGCCGAAAATGGAATTGTACAATGAGGCAGGCAAAGCCGGACGCACAGGAGATTGCTCCGCTTATTACGACTGTTTCGTGTCGGTATTCAAGATGATCTCAGAAACCCCCGCTAAGACCAAATGAAATGTCGAGACCACCCGTTCGGGGAGTTGGGTCGAACGGTCGTTGCCTTTGGTTGACGAAACGTATTTGTCCTGTCAGTCACTTTCGAGTCGTGAGGAGAAGAGTCGCTCAAGAGAGCGGGGTATCTTGATGAGGCATAGTCCCAAACGAATGGCTTTTGAGAGTGAGCTGTAATCTCTGACCCGCAGAAATGATTTGCGAAGCCGTGTTCCGAAAAGGACGGGACGACCCCGGAACTGAGCCGGAATCCACTCGGGGAGATTCTTCTGAGCGCTAATTTGATATTCCGTCTCCGTCATGGACGAATGCTGCACGTTGGCAGTGAGCCTCCCGGGAACTCGAGCTCGGGTAATTCTAGGGTGAGACCAATCAAGGTATTCGACATTCGACCCACCAAAGGACTCTTCAAGACTCGGATGGATTGCCATCTTCTCGCAGATCGAAGCATATACAGGTTTAATTCGAAATCTGATTGCTCCTAATGCGCCAAAGCGGTGAAATATGCTGCCCGAAATCGCAGACCTTGTCCGCCAACGCTGACTGGATCCGTAGGGAAATTATGAGGTCTGATGAAACGACAGCGTGTTCAAAGTCAAAGGAGAAGGTGTGTGCTTTATTATTCGATGGATTCCTTATTGTATTTAGGTAGATTTACACCTCTCGACATATTATGTACTCCCTATGCCTCAAATATCCACCGTTGAAATCCAACGTCATCGCTAGACCTTTTTGTAGTGATGGAATCAAATCTATGTAGACCTCCCCCGACGACTGAGGAGGTTAAGAACGTATTTCAAAGATCGTCTCTATGCCGTGTCAGCGCGATCCTCCCGTGAAGATCCGCAGAGCGAACAATTGCTTACTTTCTAGATGGGCATAGATGGAAATTTCTGTCGAATGATAAACTACTTAGCGTCGATAAGCTAAGACTCGCCGAAATCTCTGATTATGTACACCAAGAAATGATTGGCATCCTATGAAACTAGCTCCGAATAAGCGGAGCGGCGAACTTCGCGAATGGATCAAAACTGATCGGAACCAAGGCTCACCGCTCGCATTTTATGCTCGTCCCCACTACGGTTCCGGTCTGAGTCGCGTCCCGCGAGACATATCGGAGAGTTTCCACAACGGAAGGATGATGATGTGAATCACGTTTCTTTATAGCGAGAAGCCGGACGGCAGAAATCATTTCATCCGACATTTTCTTACCGCTGTCTCCGCAGAGCTCTGCAAATGAGCTATTCCCAGTAGGGAGTAATATCATTCGGATCAATCCCTTACGGATATCACGGCGAGCACTCCGCCGCCTCGTTTCGGAGGGTTAATACAATCTTCTCGTTCCGGAGTGATTTTCTGACCGGCCCGATTCCGTTGTAGCCGGACTTCATATTGGATGGAACGAAGGAATTCGAATATTGAATGTTTCCCGACAATTATTACGCATGGCTTCCCTGTCGAATTTTCGCCGATCATTTAGCAACTTCGATCCTCTCCTCAGGGAATTTCGAGAAACCCTCATTTTCCGGCACTCATCATGATTCATGATGATGCTTATTCAATTCCCGAAGGCCTCGGTAAACGTGCGGATCTCACTTTCTAGAATAGGAATATCCGTCGATAATGATATCTCCATGAAATATGTAGTTCTATTATTGTTCAATGTCCGCTTCATTTGCCCTCCTCCCCAGCACTATTACTCCTGACGGTGTCGTAAACTCTGTATATAATCGTCACTCCAACCATAAATCTCGACCGATATTCAAGCTCGACGCAGCAAGACGAGAACGTCGCTCATTCACAACACTATTTTCAGGACTCATTAATAGGAAAATCCCAGTATCGGCAGAATAACGTCGTAAAATTCGAGAAAAGAGGTAGGAAAAACGGTCCTTGTATTGAACGGGGAAACGAGACTAGTCTCCCAAATATGGAATCTAAACGCGTCGAAAAGACACGGATACAACAGGGTGGGCGAACACTAGACTTTACAAAGATTTAGGATTGGGCCGGCACCAGAGACGGGAGAAAATGCGCGTATTCCTTTTTACTTTTCAGTTGCACGTCGACGTGTGACGCATTCGTGGAACGTCGTCTTATATACTGGTGATTCACGACTTCCACACACCTCTTCAAACGAACAGACCGATGATGATCGACCAACGAGATGATGGCAGCTATCGAGACAGACACGTCGCTTTCAGCGGACTCTGGAAGACGGCTGATCATGATGCGCATTTTCTCACGTCTGTAGCATGATTGAAAAACTCTTTGTCTCCCGACGGAGGGGGGAATCTTCCCGATTAGTAACTGGTGTCGCCCAGGGACACGAATCGTTTACCAGACCTCTTGAGTTCCGAGGTAACTCTCCCCTTCGATCTATGGTCCTCCGCAACAATTTTCCGGCCGATGAAGTTCACCGCCGGAGAATTTCGGCTCCGTTAGCTCGAGTCTGCTCAGGCCCGGTCGATGTGACGCCAGGCATTTTGAATAGCACCATGGAAGTATTCTGTGCTGTTTTCCGTCTTTGAATCATTAAGATCGTGGATATCCGGCGTGATGAGTGACGACTGCAGCTGAATCGACCGCATCGGCTCGATTCATGTTCGGGCCCGACGTCGCGTCCAGGCGCGACATGCATGCAGCGATGTTTCGATTCGGATGTAGACACGAGATTCCGCTCTCAGGCCGAACAGCTTGTAGGAGTAGAAGACTTTATTGCATGACGAGAGTGCAGCGCGCGATCTGTGCAGACAGACGTCATCAAGAGCAGCTGCTGCTGCTGCTTTCGAATCGTCGGGCTTCGACGTCGGCCGATGTCAGAATTGCGCATAAAGCCGAGCGCTAGAGACTAGTCATTTACAAAACGGTGATTCCTGTTTTCCCAACGAGCGAGTGCTAAAACACTTCGACCTGGTGATTGTGGTGGTCGTGGAGATTAGCGCGGATTAGATGCTGTCGGTTGAGGTATTGGTGATTGTGGTTCTGAGGATGGCTGAGCAGCCGCTGCATCTGCTGGTCGGAGAACAAATTTTGAAAGATCGCGGAAGAATAGAAGTGATGTTGGTCGCTCTGTGATGATTAATCTCAAGCTTGACCGTGTCATTCCGAACATATTTAATTCTTGAAGACCCAACACGATTAACGATCTTTTGCTTTTACGGACATGAGGCCGATCTCTTCAGCGTTGTTGGAGTTGAAACACTGATCAAGGAAGGCCTCCATCGACTTGTAGAGATGGGCCTGCACGCCGGAAAGCTGATGCTTTTGATCGGGATAAGTCTGGAAATCACATCATTACTTAGAAATGGAAGAAACGTGTCCGGCAGAGAGGTTATTCCGGAACATCGAAAGGATGGATATGTAGAAAGATTGAAGCAATAAGTGTTTACATATAAGAATAAGTTTCCCTGCTGGAAGATCAAGCGAACACCTACCATGCTCTGAAACATGATATCGTGGTTGATCAAGGCTTGCGCTAGCATCATTGATTGCTGATAATGAACATTGTCTGCAAAGGAAACCCGGGTTTAAGTCAGTGAAATGATCTCGGACAGATGCTCGATGAGCCGATTATCGAGGGATGGTCTCAGAAATAGGTTGAAGTTTCGAGTTTGATCGATAGCTTCGGTTTCCATTGCCAATCGAAGATCAGCACCATCTGCAGCTAACGATCATACGTGCTGGATACGATAACACTGACTGTAAGGCCCTCAGCTTCAGCCATTATTATGATTATTATGCAGATGAACTCGGTCCTGATGCCGTACAAAGTTCTGCCATAGCAATAGAGCCTCACCATTCACCATCGAATAGACGCGATACGTACCGTCGAGCGTTCCGTGGATGAGCATGTATTTCTTGCTTTTGATATTCTCGACTTGCCGAGTGAGATCGGCTTTCTCGTAGCCGAACAGGTTGCTGTTCCCTGTCGGTAATTGCATATATCGCTCGGTGTAGACAGCATCTGGAAATTCAATGCGTCACTATGGGCCGAGCGAACCCTGATTGCCGACGGCGCTGTCTGACGACCTCATCATGTGACCACGTCCACCGAGGAAGTGGCTTTGATAGCGAAGATGATCCCTCCACTCACCATAATAAAGCCAATTGGAGACGGGCGCCACCGAAATACCGCAGCAGAACACAGGATCCTGTTCGGTATCCTTGGCCAATGCCATTCCGGTGACATAACCGCCGTAAGACCAGCCCCAAATGGCGACGTGATTCTCTTGAATGAAGTGCAGTTCGCTCTTCAGGTAGCGAACGACGGCGATCTGATCTCGGACCTCGATTACGCCGAGTTTCTTATAGATCTCATGCATTCGAGTTTCGCCTTGGCCTGCGGATCCTCGAACGTCTATGGTTGCGTATATGATATTTTTTCTCGAGGCGAGGTAATGACCCCATCCAACGCCGAACCTTCCATTCACGGCGAGGGAACCGGGTCCTGAGTAGCTGCAAATGAAGCCCGAAATGTTAAGATCTACACTCTGCCTAGGTTTCCGGAGGGAGTTATACTCTCACATCATCGCCAAATAATCTCCTAGTCTGTCTTGTTCCTTGGTCTCTCCTCTTGAGGGTCTCCGGGAATACTCACACATCGACTACCATCGGATACTTGATGATCTCTTCGTCTCGAAGACCCGGCGGTAGAAGGAGTCTCACGGCCGCATCTGTCGGAAGCACGGGTGAAATTTTGGCAAAACCCCACATTCATATGGATCGCATTTGATTTCCCGCCTATCATTTCCCGAGAATGAGGAAAAGCTCGTCGACGCGCCGAACTACCTGAGCTCCATACTTACTGTATGAGTCCGTGAGAGGCGCTTGGAAATTGCGAACCTGCGGCATGGCTCGGCTTAGAACCAGCTCCCGCAAGCGATCGTTGGTGTCCATTATTTCGACTGGAAATCGACGAGAAAGAAGATGTGAATTCCTAAATTATTCTCCATCGAACTCGACTTCGATCTGAACTCCGTCGTAATCCGACGCAGATCTTTGCGCAATTCCTCCTGAGAACGGATTTCCGGGAGCCCACTACAGGTGACTTTCTATTCGCAGTCTCTTGGGACAGTACTCCAAGCTCCCTAACCAGCTCTGATCAAGTGAGTCCGGTAAGTTACGCACCGACTGTGTTGTTCTTGGTGGCCACCAGCGCGAGGGTGGGAATACCAGGTCCGAGGCACTCTCTGACGTAGAAATCAGCGGTGGGGCTGAAGTGAGCGTTGAGTACGGTACACTCGCTTTCTGATGGGTCAGTAAAGTTGCCTCCGCCCATATCACAGGTGAGACATTCGACGTTGTTCTCGTCTTCCTTCGTATCTCGCACTCTGTACAGGTGTCGTTCTCCGGGTGCCTCTTCTCTGCCAGACATGAAGTAGCTGTAATGGGAAAACAGTCTGTTTTTACAGAGATCTCACAACTTGTTCAACGAAGGGTTCGAGCGAAGAAAGAACGCCCGAATGGATACGGATTGATTCGAAGCCTCGTCAAGCTTGAGCGCTTTCGGCCGTGGGCTTGGTTGAGGATGAGAACGATGAAGATATCCCCGGTGCCCTTGTTGTCCGGGGCATATAAGGTCTTGTATAAGGTACAGCAACTTACACGAGTCTCTTGGTCTTGTCATAAGCTCTTATATCCACAATGTCGTAAGGTCCGTGGGTCAGATAGTCTCTCTCGTTGTTCTGAAATGAGATGTCGCGTCAATGGCGCGAAGAGAAAGAGGCGAGAATCATCTCATCTTATCATCTCACGGAGGACCCGAAGCGGAATTGTGGTCGGGCTTACCGTCAGACTGATTTTAGCCACGTGGAAGAACTTTCCTCTGAGCCCGTCGTTGACCGGCAATTTCAAGAAATATGCGGTTTTCTCGGCATCATAGATCGGCTCTTGGCTGATATCGACCCAACCAGTTTCTGACGATTCGACATTGTTCTGCGGGATGTCAGCACAAGATTAGGACCCCTATACCTCCCAAGCCTTCTGCTTCCTTTTCCGCTTGCTCGATATCGATAAAAATCATCACAAAGAGAGTTTTCCTAATTATCTACCGTTTCCTCTTCCCTCTCTCCGTACGAACCTCAACGCATTCGTAGTCGGCGTTTTTGCGGTTCTGATCCGAGCAGACCGCCAGCACAGCGTGCGTCTGGTTTCGATGGAGGAAATTCACCAATAAACGGTTTTCATCGATCCAGGACACCATAGTGACATAGTACTCTCTGAAAGGAGAGGGAAGTGTTCGATGATTGCGGCTTCCATCCGCGTATCGAGGACGGAACCGAGGAGCATCAGGAGAAATATCGGGAGACAACGTCGCGAGTATTCAACGTGTCGCGTTTTTCCCTCAATGGAACCCTCTATGGCTTGTCAGGGAGGAAAAAACTTGATACCCGCCATAGAAGCGGCGCACGTGTCGAGCAGGAGTTCACTTCGCGAAGAACGTCCGAAAAACCCTCGGGGAGTTATCAGAGAGTTTGTCGACGTCCCAACATCTCGGGAACTTCGAATACCCGTCACAACGCCATGAAGAGGTCGCAGTGGTCGCGAATGAATCTACGATAATTTGAAAAGGTGGCGTCGTCTCGCGGAAGGGTCGAGGCGGAGAACTATCACAACACGAAGCTCAAGAGCCGCCAACGGGGTCCGATTCTGCCCGAATTTCTTCTCCCTTCGGTCATGAACGTAAATCTCACTGTCACGGGCTCAGTAGAGATATCGAGTCGATATTCAAAACTCACTTTCCACGCAGACTCTGCGGGGGTCTGACCTGGACCGCAGGTGGCGTCGAGCTTTCACCTTCCTTGGGCAGTGATTTGAAAACGAAAAGATCCACCGTGGGGATCGGTCGGCCCGGCTTCGGGTATCGGAGCTCTTCGATCCGGGTGTACTGGTTGACACTGGGCGTTTTCTCTGAGCCGTATCTCGGGATCGGCTCGATGTCCACCTGGATAATTCAATAGGGTTTCAGTTCAAAGGCTATTGTTTGTCGGTCGCTGTGCAACTATTCGACCGGAACGTCCGGCTTCGGATCGCTCTCCGAGGTTGTTTCGAGCGGGGCTCTATACTCTAGTCCAGATTGCCACCCAAATTCCAAGGGTTCCACATCGCTGAGAAAATGGCAAAAGTTTGGCGAACAACAAATCCGAGAGCAGGTCTTCGTGGACGATTTCGTGCATCGCCTCGGGGCTACAGCCGCACGCTCGTCAGGACACGCCACGCCAGCTATGAGGCTAGGAACATATTTGACTCATATCGCACTCGCGACGTGCAGCGACTCGTAAACTGAGATTGTTCGGATTTTCACGGCGTCGGAACGGAAGGTACGAAAACCCCTACAGTGGCAAATTCGCTCTTGTCACCTCCCAGCGGAAGGAATCGTCAACGTGACATTCGACTGCTCCATAGTCGTGAACAATCACCTTTGAGTCGTTGAATTTCGCGAAGCAGAGCTTGTTCCCGCTCGCGGGCATCCAGAAAGCTTTGTTCGATGAAAAGATTTCCTCCTCGTACACCCAGTCTGGCATCCCGTTGAAGACGACATCAAGCACACCTGCGAACAGGAAACGTTGAAACCTAGCTCCCAGGCTCGAATTCCTCCCCTACACCAGCTGGAAATTGTCTGTCTCCGTCCAAGATGAAAGATGTTCTCGGCATGAGGCAGAACCTCTCTTTCGGGGGCATTGCAACGCATGATGAGACGGTTGGACCCCTGTGGCTGTGAGATGCCGCCGCCGCCGCCGCTTGACCCGTCAGGACTGAATTCATTTCACGCTCAAAGTTGCCGGCTTGACGCGAAAGACTCGACCGGTAGTAATTTGGGAACGAGCTCCCACCGGTCTGGTCTCAACGGGCGCTGGCTTGGAGCTTATCGAGCCATCAAACGCAGTCACAACGTGTAGTAGGAAAGACCAGTTTTTTTTTCTGTTCGGGCCTGCGACCAGACACTTATGCTGCAGAGGCAATCTTTTCGATAGGAGAAAGTATGTAGTTGGTCGGTCGCTGGCCGGTCGGCCTACTGGTCGCTCAGCAAGTTGGCCGGATCGGGCCTGCCTCAGTGGAATGAGAGAGCTAACTTGTCGGCTGGCTGGCTGGCTAGCCGGCCTTCGAGCGAGCCAGCGGTGGGCAACTTTGGTTTCTTGATTCGTTCTTGGCCAGACACCTCGAATCCATATTGTACTCACCATCATTAGTCAACTGGATCGGCGGAGAGTTAATGGAGTTGTAATAGTAGAGGTTGTTGTTCCAGACCACGATAAGTTGAGAGCCGCGGTTACCCCATCCAGCGAATTGTACGAAACCTTTCGTGTTTCCAGACGAAGGTTGCGGTAGATCGTAGCTATGCCTGGAGAGGAACGTGAACTCAATCAGACTGCTCCATTCTGAGTCTGATCCTCGATCGGGGGAAACCAGACGATTCGTTTCGTCGCTGGGCATGCGCTCGGAATCGTCTGATATCCCAAGAGATGAGAAGTCAGAAGGGAAGACTGGAGCCTACTCGCAGAGGCCTCGGAGACGCAGGTTGTACTACATATGTCTCCAATGTATGAGCTCAAACACTCGATGGAACGAGAGCGGCGATGACATGTCGAAGTGAACTCCTGTCTCTGTTGTTCGGCCTGCGAGGAATCCTAAAGGGAGCGTTGCCTTGTTTCAGTGAGATTCGGAAAACACTTACTTTTTGTGAACGTCGTGAACCTTGAACTTCCCCTCGAAAGTATGTCGATATTTCTGCGAAGTGAATCGAGACGGCTCAGAGCACTCTCCGTGCACTCAATAACAAGGCTCCCAAAGACTAAAAGAAATCTTGGAAATACCCTCTCGGGTCTGTCGCATGTGGGTCTCGGAAAAGGATCTGTATTGTCGGGGGCGGGGAAATGCTCGCGCTACTCACGCTTTTGCGTTCCACAGCCATCAACATATGACGCTGATCAGGAGATATTGAATAGTCGTTCCCGAGATTGTTTATCCGCTGAAAAGAGCGAAAAGAAAACTTCTTGTTGTTGTACGCGGTTTTGACAATACGATTCGATTTCTTTCTCCATCTATTTTGGAAACTCGCAGTGGAGCTCGCCGGAGTGACGTCGTTGCGAAGGATGTTTGACAGGATTTGAAACGGTTCGCATGGACGCCGCCACGACTCGGTGAGAGGCTTTCCCAGCTTCATTTTTCCGAATGCACTTTTTCTATCCGTCGGGATCCGGCTCCTGTTCTCAGGGAACCCAGCAGTGGCATACCCCGAGCTTCCAGTGGGCCTGACGGTTTCACCGTCGACCGAGACGGGATTGGAGCGGATAAAGCTAATCACATCGGCGCGCCGCGGCGTCGCGTTGGCTCCGATCTCGTAACTTCCCCGATTCCCGTTCAGATGTATCTAAGGACATTAGGGGCCAATTGAATGTGAGGACGGGACGGAATCGATTCCCACTCATACTGTCAATAGTTAAGAGCGGAAAGCTGCTGCGCGATCCCGCTCTCCGGCTCATTGGAATGTCGGCGAAAGAGACTGGAACATGCGATCCCTTCGCGAGGGAGTGCCTGTTGTGATGTTCAGGGATGGGCCGACAGGATGAGTTTCCTCAGGCGAGAAAAATAAAATCCAACACGAATAGGCACATTTGAAACACGAAAAATTGGAATGTCCTGTTTGGTGCGGAACTTCAACAGCCGAGCACAGACAGTAAGGCGCCTTATGCTGATTACGGACTCCTCGAAAGCTCACTGATTGGAGCTTTCGCCGTCCGCTCAGCTCATCAGTCCGAATTGCTCCGCCGCCGTCTATTTCGTTCAATGCGGTGTAAAGCTCGGCCTCCGCCGCGACAGTGTGACCGAGGGCTATCGCCGGCATGGGCACACCGACACTTCCCGGGCGCTTATCGGATCATGCTCAGAAAGACACGTTCCCCTCAAACAGACCGCAGCACTTTCCGACGCAATCGAAGTTTTCGTATTTCGGAAATCCGACACCGTGAAATATTGCGAAATCGGTAGTTGCGAGCTGTCAAGGAACCGACAGCCGCCCAACCGAGGAATGGAGGATGGGAACGGAAAATGGCCTGCAGCCCTGCGGGGCTTCGAGACTCCGAGTACAAGTGATGGTACACGGAGTATAGAAGATAGGTTTGTTCGAGGAGTACCTCCAATCTCAACACTTGCCATACATATACCATGGTTCCGTATGGGAGCGTTGTGGAACTGATACGATAAAGTTACTTCCGTCGGCAGCCATTGTATTTTCTCCTCAACCTTTTGCTCTTCCTTTGTTGGAAATCTGGGACGTGGAATGTATCGAAAATACCCCTGACAAGATGAATGATGTGCCTATACTCTCATCAGAGTTGGGGGGTAATCGCTCCCGACGACGCGGGAGAATGGCGTGGAAGAGAGACCCCGCTTCGTCCATCAGCGGCAATCAGAACGTCATTTACACCCCTAGGTTCGGAGTCGAAGCCCGTTCGCTCAAACTTGGGAAATGGTCTACCGAGCTTCTCCCTCCGAATCCCATTTCATGTCGACGAACGAGTCGAGCTTCCAACTTTTCGGTCGGAGCAATATTTTAAGAGTTTGTCAACTTTGAGACTCACAGCCCATGAAGATCTCGGACGGATATCAAATCTGGTCGCGCTTCGCCTCGTGTAAGCTCTCGAGCCTGAAGTTGCGACACATGATTCATGTCACCTCAAAATGAGTAGGCTAGCGAGGACGCCTCTACCTAATCATCAAGAGGATTTTCCAGGTATTTCTCCTCTGTTTCGCCCTCGAAACGAAATGGCAGGGATGGAAGTGGGTGTCTCGACGATTCTCAGAAGCCCAATCGAAGCGGAAACCGCCCTTTTCCCACAAAGTCTGGAGTCAAAGTTTCTCTGGCAGAGCCCACGGACGGAAACTGCGGGAGCCTGTCTCCGTTTTCCGTCGGCGAAGATTGAGAAGTCTAATGTACGCATGGAGCCTGGTTTCACAAGCGGAATCCCGATCAGCTATAGTTCTCCCCCGCAGCCGGAGCCTTATTTGTCACCGGAGAATGTGTGAGCTGAGATGAGGCTTGCTGAAATTCCACACGCCTGGAAACCCTCTGACAATGTCGGCTTGTCATAGAGCCGACTGATTGACCACACAGATAGATCAGCGCTGGTCTCGGCCTGCCTAATTTTCCAGAAGTCTTCTATCTGAGCAGCCGGATGAAGACAATGACCGGAGGGAAGGAAGATCGACAGGGAACCGCCGGCCCTACAAGGACTCGATCCCCAAGATCGAAGAACTGATCCTCTGCCGCTAGAACACCCCACTGCAGCAGAATTCGACCGCAGTGAGGTCTCCGTGGCCTGCTAAGAAGTTTGAGCTGAAGGATGGATCGTCGTACGATTTGGATTCGACAGCCTGGACACCTGTATCCAGACGTTGGGCTGATGGATCTCACGAATAAAACTTCTACTCCGTGAACATTTCAATCGCGCCGCGACGCTGTACGCCCCTCATGAGAAAATGTGGAGTGGCCGTATGGATTCGTTTGTTCTGTCCAGCGAGAACGAAAAATTGAAGGGACGTCCAACGGCGTACTCATTCGGGCAGAGCTCACAAGGTTCTCAATCGATTGAATAATGGACGCCCGAGACGGTAGAATCGTCGGGACGAATGAATAACGTCGCTCACGTGAGCCTTCCGCGTTGGATATCGGAGTTGTTTTCGACGAATTGCTCGGACAGCGTTCGAAGTTTCAGGGCGTACTGAGCTTAAAATTTTACGGACACGGAGCTCATCGAAGGCTAGCGAATGGTTTGATAGCTAGACGATGGCATCGGAGCTCTCATAATAATAACTGGTAATCAAAAGCCGTCATAAAAAGGCTATAAACGCGCTTCGTTTCAGCCTTTCGGAAATGACCCCATCACCAGACGCTCCGAGTGCGTATCATCCATTCGCCCCTGTTTTTTCTATTCCGGCTAGAACGTAGTCCGCATGCGTTTGAGAACCGTGCGCGGATTCTGGCAACAAGCGAGACTCAAGCGGCGAGGTTAGATATGCTCCGATGTCTTCGAAGCTGTTTGGACCGTGGCCATCTTTTCATAGAAAGCGCCAACGGTAACAGCGGCAAAGCCTGCGGGGAACATTTAGCTTTTTCCGTTCATACGGAGCGAGCGAGTAAACCTCTCAGCCGGGCGGCGAGCTCTCGTCAGATATCAGAAAAGCCACCACGGCCTTCACGTCACCCTCTTCCCGCGTACGCCTCGTATGAGGTCAAGGAGTTCAGCTGGAGGTATGTAGATAGGTTCTGGACGCGGAAGAGGAAACAAAAACGTTCTCCCGAACCCCCTCAAATATCTCATCTTCATTCCTTCCCCACCAAGAGGGGGAAGAGAATTTCCCTCAAGAGTTTCCTTCTTATTTGGCTATTGCCGGCGAACGCGCCTCCACTGGATTCGCTCATAGACGAGCAGCCGTAGAACGCTACCATCCGTCTAAGTTGTCGGAACCACCTTCCAGCTATATCTTGGCGCTGTGAGCAGAAAATGCCAAGCAACCGACTTGATTCACCTACGGGGTCAAGAAGATCATAAGGAGAAGATGATTCATCACGCAGGGGGCGAAAGAGATGGCGAGATTTCTCGCTTGGCTCACTGCACTCCGGAGGAGGGGTTTGGATTATATAGGGGCTTTCCCCGCCCTCAGCTGTTCGCCCGAAAATCAAGAAGCTATCAACCGGCACCAGCCCAGGCTTGGGGAGGTTTCTGGTGGGAGGAGTGGGCGGAGAGCGCTCCTTATATCGCGAGCATCCGGCCAGGGCATTTTGTCCGTCTCTGCCGTATGTTTTTGGAAGTGAAATGGCCGAATGGCTGAGATGTTCTCGGTAATGACTCCTCGTCACCGGCCTCGATCAACGACGGGGACGATTTATTCCAATCGGAAAGATCAAGCTCCGGAACCCACACCAGACAAACGAGCCCTGGTTACGCATGACTTCCAGCGTGCCTCATTTGCCAAGCGAGGAACTCTTCGAACTCGTCTCTGAGCTCGTAATCGTCGAACGGCATGATCACAAGCTTCCTCCTTGCGGGCTCGTGATGACTCTGCGCCGAGAGTTTCCACTCCTATTCGGGAGCATTCGCGATTGTCTCCGTCTGGATCTCGATAGACGAGAGAGCTACATAAGCTACTCACGAAAGTTGTACTGGTGACGAGAACTTTGGTTTCCTTCTTCAAGACGTCGTACTGAACCAGATCTCCATTTCCTCTTCTGAAGGTAAGGACGGTATCTGACGTCCAGGAACCATTGTAGGTGTTAGGCTGAAAAGCTCCGGTGAGGATTTCCTCCAATGAAATTCGCGGGTTCTTTACACGTGGACCGGTATCAGCTGAAAGGAGAAAATACATTCAGATGAGCCGAGGACTTCCATCGAGCGAACTTAGAAACATTAACAATCGGAATGGAGTAGGTACGATTCAGCTTGGGAGATTCTGAAGAAGGTAGCGTCCCTCGGGACAGACCCTCCCGTTCCACGGACTCGTTCGTTCCGAGTCAGAGAGCCTCGCATTCCTGCGGGAAATTTTCTCAAAAACTATTCGGTAGAAAAGCTTGGACTCAGAAACGTAGGTACGTACTCCGCCGAGATCCATCGTGACGATAGTCTTCACGTCCCACAGAGAGCGACACACATGAACCAGAGAGCAGAAAGCTCACCCAGATGTTTAGCCATTGATTCCTCATCATATCGCCACGGCTGCGTGTTTGTTTCTATTGTATGTTTTCAGTAGTATTAGAACACTCTCCTTCGAAAGGCCGAGAGGAAACGAGCAGCGAGGCATTAAATGTTTCTGGGTCAGTAACTCCGTCCGACGGGCTGACCATTTAAAGCGCTAGCTATCCTACCAGCAAACGCCAGATATTTCACCAGCTACCAATAGCAAACTAATCTTCTGGAACTTCTTGGAGCCTGAAGGATGTTGAAGGTATCTCCATTCGATTCGAGTCTGGAGCATAGAGAATCTGACGTCTTCCGCAGACATTCCGATTCCGACACATGCATGATTCAGTATTGGCAGCCCTCCCTCTCATGAGTCCCCGGGAAAAATTCATTCATTATAGGTTGCTTAATATATATTCCGTAATCTGATCCGGCGTCAAGTTCAGTTCGGATTGTACCGTCGGTTTCAGAGGATTCTGCGAAATATCGGTGGGACAAGGGAACGACGGCGTCTCACGGAATGATGCGCGGAGCACGAGGACCACTGCCCCCGGAAACGTCAGTGGAGCGCGCTGAATTTTTGCGAGGACGAGCTCCCAATCATTCACTGTCGTTCAACGGAAACTACACTTCCATGGCCTCGATTGATTCCGGCACCAGGACTTCCAGGACGAGTCGTTCCAAGCGGTTGTCTCTGACTTGCTCGCCTGTTCTCGGACTATTCCAGAGACACAACGTTCCGTCTCCAGGATGCTCGCGACAGGTGTTTGTTCTCCCGATTAAGGCTCGGTCCTCAGCCATGTTTATTCTATTAGAAAGTCGGAGCGGACGACAGAAGGACGAGAGGCGGAAGACGAAGAAGAGCAGAAAATCGAATCGGGGACTCGTGTTCGTTCGCATCGGGGGGCCCATCGAGCAAACAGACACCGAAGCGCGGAAAGGTAAGATGAAACTAGAGGCACACAATGCGAATTCAGAAGATTCCGGACACGGGCCGCCTGCGTTTCTCGACACAAAGATAATTCAAGCACCAATTACACGGAGGGAATCCGAAGCTGTCCCGGAAGTTTTTTTCGCAGAGTCCTGGCTCATGTCACTCGGGACGGCGCGGGAGAAGGCTCGGTACACTACCGCGGGAAGCAGACACCTGTCGCGAGAATACAATCGAGGATCTGAGATGCACCGAGACATCGTTCCTGCTTGCGAGCTCACTCGGACTTGCCCGAACTCACATTTTTCGACTGCTTCCGAGTACAGACACAGAAAAGGCACCAACGAACACATGGACGTATACGGTATCAGCATCCTGCTCGCTCACCGGCACCCGACAGGGCCGGTCAGCTGTGCTGCGAACCACGGAACCAACGGAGACGACGCGTGTGATGAAAGTGAAGCCGAATTTTAATGAGATAGGTGTCATCGACGGTTTCAGTCTCTCACAACCGGGTCAGTCGAAGAGTGACGGCGCTTCAGTCGCTCCGTCACTCAAGACATTGCGAAAGTCATCGCCACAATGCGAAAAAGCTGCCTCAGCGCCGCTCGTTGCTCCATGATCGAAATTTCTAACGAGGAACTCAACAGACGTAAAGATTTCGGAATCGTGCTCGAACAAGTTACCGCGGCCATCCGTCCAGCTCCGATCAGAATGATTGTAGCCGAATCGTCACGCGAGGCACAGAATTTCCACCGGAAATACGTTCGCCGCAACGCTCACGCAACCGCTCTCTTCCCAGAGCTATTCTCGGGAGCATACGCAGAAATACCGAATGAATCCAGGTAACGTGGAGAGACTCAGACGCAGACTCTGGTTCTGGCTCGCGCAAACTCAAGGCGTCATGATTCATGACCAATCATTGCGAAGCATTTCGATTAAAAGATAAGAGACTTCCTCGTCAATATCCAGACCGTCTCGCGATTATTTCTCGCGCTCCGGAACACAGCCCCCGCGATCGTCTGTCTGGAATTGTTGCCTCGATGCCGCTAATTCAACATCGGAATGTCATGAGGAGAATTTCAATTCAATTCTTGAACCACGACACCCAGTACAGATCGCGCTGATGCTGGCCTTTCAAAATGGCATCGCTCAAGTGGGTTGACAAAGAAAACAAAACTCCGAGCCCGGTATGCTCCTTGAAGAAAACACAGCGGCTCGGTGCTGGATGTAAATTATGGTCGAGCGCTGAATTATTTATGCAGGCCAAGTCTAATTATTTAATACTGCCGCGGTAGGGAAAGTTCGGCTCGTCAGCACCGAATTAGCCCATGGCAACCCATGGCGACATCCAGTCTCTCACAGCCAGCGCTCACGGCGACGCGGGGCGCGACCGAGCACGGGAATCCGGGCGAACAAGCGAAATAACGAAGGCGTCTCTGACGTTCAGGGAATTCCAGCCCGAGGTCCCTCGCTCCGCTAGTCGGTGTAGAGTCTCGCAGCTCCGTAGCATACGCCAGAAAAACGGAGGTGGATCGTACAGGTGCTGAAAATTGGAAAAGTAAACGGCGCGGCACACCAGATGAAATCGCGCCCGGCTTCGATTTCGGAGTCGTGACCGGGCGAAACCCGGAGCTCGAATGCGTTCGGAAACATTCCATCTCAGTCAGAGCGGCAATCTAGACTCCACGGGAAATTCCCAACGTTCGAACCACTCTCCGCAGTGAGTCTCCTTGAATCTGATGCATCGTCGCTTGCGTATCGATGAACTGTGGTGGAAGATGAGAGTTGAGACCGCGTACATAAAGCTACGATCTTGGAAGCGGTCGCCAGGGGCGAAACAGGAGCGGTAGCAGGTGAGGATACGGGTTCCTTTAGTCAACTTTCACCGCCTCGGGACAATTGATATCTTTCCGGTCTCCCTCTTGATTCATCCTTCTTTCGAAAACTCGAAGGTGCCGTCACAAAAGACTTCCACTCGCGTCCCGAGTTTCCGGCAGTTAATCAAATCTGAAAAGTAGGAGTCCACGGATTCCTCGCGAGAAACGAGTCGCACCTGCGAGCTCGAGTCTTTGAAGCAGGTATAGAGGTCGACAAACTTCTCGCCGGTCCATAGAGACGGAAAACTTTCCGTTTGTCATCGGTGCTCGATCCGCATTTACGGACCGCTTTTGACGATGACAGATGTCCTGGGTATCCCATGGAGGTCTAGTCATAACTTCGCTTGCGGAGGAGTACTCATTCCAGGCCCATATGACACCGGATGTCAAATTCGACAATGCGCCGCCGCAGTGGAAATACCTCGTATTCCATAGAGTGTGAATGCTCCAAGGAGGAGTCCCGATGCAGTCTCGGGAGCCGAAAGACCTCAGGTCCGTGACAGGATCCAAGAATGATCGAATAAATTCTCACATTATGAACCACGCTGTTGTAGAACGAGAAAAGATGTGCATTCATTGAGGCATTATCTATCTTCTGTTTCCTCTGACTTCCTCACGACGCCGGTGATCAACATTTCTCGGAACCGTTCGAGCCCCGTGGTTTTCAGGCATCCGCTCAATTGGACCCGAATCTCATCGTAGAGCTCCCGCAAGAGGGTCTTTTCGACGATGTTATACAAGCCAAATGAGCTACGCACTCTCCCGCCTCCTCGGATACGAGAACCGTGGGTATTCTTGGGGCGAACTCTGTAGGAAGCATCTGGTCGAGTGAGCTCAAGCCTCCCTCGTTCATATAAGTGGTAGAATATGCACCGTATACGTGTGTATGAGGACGCCATTTATAGAAGTTAGCCAGCTTCCGACCACCCAGCTCCTGGACGGAACCGGAGGCTGCAGCTGAATGGACAAGACCTTGTAGATGGGAACACACCGCTCATGACAATAGAAAGAAAAAGACAGCGTGTGGGGGAATTGGCTTGGAGACGGAGGAGCGAGAATAGGCAAGCAACTTACGTGGAGTGAGCAGCACGACCGCGGTAACGATGAGAGCGCATACGATGATGATGACGAGCAGTGCAATACCGATACCTTTGTAGTTTCGGCTGTCGGGCGCTGACGACACCAACTCCTGAAACAAGGTACACTCATTGGGTGTTCTTCGGGAGTTTTCTTCCCGCCAGAACAATTCTTCAAAATCGGCATCGATGATCGTCATTTTGAAGATATATTCATGTTCTATAATCGCATCAACAAAAATCATATTTCAATCAGACTTCGATGAGCATATCTGTCCCCGCTCCAGTCAGGCCTTACGGCAGTCCCATAGCGGGTCCCTTGGAAGCGACCATGGTTCCCATGACGGAAGCCGCATTACTTCTCTGTACGCATAGTGATAGGCGGTGGTAAAGGTACTCTCGTGATCGTCATTTGGTTTATCCACGCATGTCTACTCATGCTCGTCGATGCCAGCGCAGTCATGAGCCTTGAGGAGGACAATGACGAGGAGGAGCATCCAACACAATCGACTTCCGTTCTGACTGTTCAGGAGCTGCACGTGAAACCGGCGGCGTCGGAGAATGAGCGATCGACATGAAGCTCTGAATTAGGGGCAGAAGGGAACTCCGGCAGAATCTCTCGCCGCCGCCCGCGTGCTTACGTCTTCAAGCTCTCGACCCAGTGTCTTATCATCGTATTAATCTGCTCTTCTATGAATTGCCTATAGTTTCGAAGTCCTTTCGACCGTTTCGGAGGCTACGCTCCCAATATAAATAAATGCCTACAGCGTCGCTTTTGGGCACGTCAGGGGCGTTCCACGACTGGACCAGAGAAAAGATTGCTTGAAAAGCGCCGGCGACTTGGTGTTCGCTGCATAATCCCAAAAACAAACGAAGACTATTGAAGACTAGCTGCTTGGCAGTTCACAGCTGATCAGGACTCTATTTTATGTACGTCGGGCTCCTTCTCCGGCTCCCTAGCAGACTGACTGAGTGAGCCTCTCTCATGAGCCGCCTGGCTCCACTAGCCCTGGCCTGCCGATCCGCCTTGAACTGGTATAATAATTAACGCACTCTTCCTGCTTGCACGGCCAAGGTGGTTCACCCGCTCATCAGTTGCCTAATCGGACGACCTTCAGAAGTCCAACAGAGACCAGTTCTGGAAGACCAGGGTTGAGTTTCGGGACCCTTCCTGAGGTAGCCCTGAGACGCAACAAGTTGGGCCCGATTCGAGGAGCTTGTTTGGGTTTACCTCGATTGATCTGTCACCGACGACGCTTCAAGCAGCGGCAGCAGCAGCAGGAGGTCACTCGGCTGCGAGCGAGAGTGTCCAGCGAGAGCGTGCATTTCAGCCGACTTGTCAGCTACACGCAAGGCTCTGATTCTTCCAGCAGATCAGAGATCGTTCATACTGTATCACGGAGTGCTGCTGCAGTGTGTCCGTGTTCGACTCACGAGTGGTCTCCCGAGATGAGATCAGGGTCGACATTCTGCAGGAATCGAACCCTTGATCGGGATCAGCCGCGTCGATGGGCTTCTCATCCCGTTCGTTTCGTAGCTGCCCCGTAAATGAGTCAACCGTCGCCACGTGCCGAGAATCTCCCTAACGCTCCGTCTACGCTACGTGCAAACGGCGACAAGCTTAATTAATCTAGGTATATACGAGCTCGCGTTCGAAGTAACTCGAGCTTAAGCGAATATTCATGTTTGACCTCCGAGCATACGGCTCCGGCGGTGAGTTGAGCATCGACGCGCGAGGCTGGATTCGTGCGATAATAGTTGGAAATGTCATCCCCGGCCGGTCTAGAGCTGCGACGGCGGCGCGTCGGTAGCAGGTTGACCGTCGTGGGCCGCATCGACGGTCCACCGACAGCGTTGTCGGTGTATAAGCTCGGGCCCTTCGCTATAAATAGTCAGGTCCCGAAAGCGCCTTCATCCCGTTTCATTGAGTTTTTGGTGCAGTTTTCTCATCCTTTCCCTATATTTGCGTAGGTCCCTTCATGTCGTTGAGCCGGGGTCTCCCACAGGCGACTCTACCCGGATGCGATTAATACGACGGTCTAGTACTCGACCCTGGCTCCGGGACTCGCTCGAGAGTGACAGCTTTCTGAGAAGAACGCATGAAGAATCACAAACCGGCAAGACATTGACTCGTCACAGGCGACTATTACCCCTGGACTCGAGCGAGAGAACGAAAAACAAACGAGAATTCAGTAGTTAATCGAGTTCGCCCACCTCCCGCTTGGAATCACTTGCGAAGCGGCTCACGTCCAATCTGATCCGGAGTCAAACATTCAATAATTAATAATTCGAGTCGGGGGCTGAGCATCTCCGATTGCAACTCAAACAAGCCTCGAGCGCTCCGATTCCGAGATCCACCTGAATATCCACCGTCTCAAACACGCGGAGCGAGTCGAACAAAGCGAGGCTTTTCCCTGTCCTGATTAACTCCGATGATCGATGAACCGGAGCGACCAGCGATGTTTTCCAGGAGCATATCCCACGCAGGGGAAAAATATAGCCTGTGGGAAAAATTCATCGCGTATGCCGCGCTGGGCCGGACGGGGCTTGCCGTGTGGGTTTGGCGGCTCGACTGGAAATTCCAGCTGGGAGACGCATGCGAGAAAAGCCTCCCGACAGTTTACGGCGCTGTATGCAGCTAAGGATCGGGTTTACGGACACCGAGAGCTACAGTTTCATCGTCTCGATGCTCTCGAATAACTCGACATGAGAGCATGTCATAGCGATATCCGTGGATACGGTGGTTATATGCGAATAATTTATCGCCGATTGTTCCCATTAGGCGGAGTGCTTGAACCTATATCGCGGTTAACTATCCAGCGCGCGGCCGGGTCGGCATGGGCGAGTCCGATTCCTACAAGAATCTTCTTGGATTTCAGCTTGGCTCGGGTCCACAGCGAAAATAACGATAGCCGTCGCTCATGCGAGCCCGAGCTTCGGTCGCTCGAAGCGGCTCGAGGGATCCGGCGGTGGGCACCCTGGGTGGAGCATTCGAACACCTCTCTGATCCTTTTCCATAACATGTTCTTCCCATCTTCTACACGGACTTTGGGAGCTCGGCCAGCTGGCTGTGCTTACCCTTGCTTTCTAGGAAGGAGACGAGGATGGAAAAAAAATATGATGAAGCTGAAGCCTGCCCGTCAAAGAGAGCTTTGCGAGTGGTCTCCGAGAGGCAGAGTGAGAGCGGGCAAAGAGACCGGCACGGATTTCTTTCATAACAACACACGGGGAACACGGAACAATTCTGGTGAGCCGAGACTCTGGGTTCGCCCGTCAGAGCTTCATGCACGTTAGCTTAGATAGAGCAGAACGCCAACCATGTCTTCACGGTGTCCTCTTTCGAGCTACCGGGTCCTTGACAACTCAAAAACGTCTCCGGAGAACGAGGTGCTGTCCCAGCAATTTATGCCGTCTAGCTTGCTCAGCCGGTAAACACCAATAACACCCGGCTCGCTTGTACATATATGAATGCAAGCCGCGCATAATGCAAATACCGAAGCTATGCACATCGTGCTGCCGAGGCACAAAAGGAGTTCCGGGGTCAAGGCCTCGCGTCGGAACGGTGGATCGAGTTCGGATCCCTCGTTTCCTCCGACGTCGCCCTGAGCCCAGTTTTGTACATCGCACCGTACGCGTGAACTGCGCCGTTCGAATGAGCTTCCTTCCGAGAGATGGATTCGACAAATGGTTCCGGAGCTGGGAGCACCAACCCGATGACGGCTCGGAGGCTGCCTCGCGGACTGGTGGGGCTGAACGAGGGAAATCGTTTTCTGGTCTTTTGTTCCCTTGTCTATGTTTTCCGCGTATCGGCAGTCAGTCGACTGCGGTTTCACGGTCGACCTCGACGATGCTTGTCCACGTCCCGGACACGGATTTTCCGCATTCATTGATTCCGATCTCCGTGAGGTACCGTCCCTGACTCAGCCCGTCGGGAATCTTCGGTAATAGCTCCCCGATACTCGCGAGCGCGAAGCGAGCCTTTCCATTGCTCTGACCGAGTCGCGTCCCGCACGCTTCGATTCGGGCTCGCGTACATCGCGGTGATTCTTATCGATCCGAGGTCAAGCATCTAATTCTTAGAAGGTTCGGTAGCCCTCGGCGAACGTCATTTTCCTACATCAGGCGAGCCTGAGGAGTCGACTGAATTCGTTGGTGGACTCATGCCGATCCTGACCGGAGTTTGCTCGGATAGCGAAAGTTTGAGCGCGCAATCGCGGGACAACCGCCCTGGGAGTCGGAAGGCAACCGCAGATCGCGATTTCCAAAGGGGAAGGTGCGTTCACGGTCCGTGAAGCCGATACGAGCTTTCGAGGTCTGATGTTATCGACGGTTTGTCGTTCTATTCTCGCAGGATCTCTCACTGCCGGTCGCTTCTATGTGGTGGGATAACCGTTCTCTGCTCTCGATTCGCTCTCGTCGAAGTCGAGCGTCATCTGTCAAAGCAGATCTCTCAGAACACCAGCCGCGGCATCGTCTGACGCAGATTTCACTGGGAAGGTAGCTCTCACTGTTTTGGTTTCTTTTCGTCGCGAAACGAGCTAAAAACCTGGACGACAAGGATTCTGAACCCTCGTGATACCCTTTAATGCTTACGGATTGTCGCTCCGGACTCAGGTCGGTATTCTGAATGGATTCAAACCGCATGTTATAGAAAAATGCAATCCAATACATCCGTACCTAGGACGAGTGCGTCCTCCACGGGATACCCTATGGAGGGAGTATGATCCTCTAAATGAAATCAATGAATCTGTTCTCTCAGTTGAGAAAAAAAATTATCGTCCCCAGCGACGGGAGATCAGTCCCACCGGAAGAACTCCGCAAGTCTCCTTCCAATCGGAGGGTCGAGACTTATTTGTAGAGTCTTTCCATTTTCGATTTGGGGAGTCGGGTTCGCATAGAACGACGTACCGGAGTCGGCCGCGAATTCCGACCGTGCCGGCGATTTTCCGAGTGACATAACCGCGAAACTTCGTACGAAACACTGCGTTGAACTCTCCTGGCCAACGCGATTCTCTCGGGGAGTCGAGCGTCGATCGGAGACGGCGAAAGGGTAAAGTTCGAGGAGAAAACCGAGCGATTCTATTCTAGACAGCCTGGCGTCAGCGCGCTCTCA